CCTTTTTCGAACCGTCACCATTTCTCGGACATAGAGCTTGGAGTTGTGCTAAGAATGATTGGTTAATCGTCGAGTCTGCACTTCCTGTTACTGTGAAGTTATATAGGCGGTATCGAAAGAACAAGCAATCCGTTTGCCAAATGGTATGTGTCCATGCCATAGAAAACATAACATGTAACTAAACCGTCGGAAACTTGGTTACTTGGGTGCTAAGACATTATGTATATGGTATATGCATACCGACTAATGTTACAAGATTATTATCAGTGAGTCCTTTTGCAGCAAATTTTTGCCTTTGAGCAGCAATGGACTCGAGTGGAGATGGAAAACTTGAGGCTTGTGCTGATGAAGAAACCCTTCCATCCCTTCTTCCGGATGGAACGGTCCAACTTGGACCATCACTCTGAAATGGAATCAAATTAATGAAAATCTCATGTCAATGTATGTTTGTGCGTCCCAGCAAAGGTTTATTGTTAGTAAGAAATGAAAGAAAGCTACCAAATCAACAGCATCGCGAGCTGCCAATGCTAAGATGTCAGCACACGACACGACTCCGGGGCATAGAGATTCCAGCTGTGCTTTCGCATCATCAATAACTTCAAATCCTCGAAGTCCAAGGTATGGCAATGCGCTTCTCTCGGTGGAAGAGCCGGAGATCAACACCGAGCCATCACATACATCCCTTCACGGAGATCATGTGATCAGTAAGATTTCATCTACTTGATCAGTGCCAACACAATAAATCAGGAAGAAGAGACTGACCTGAACAAAACAATCATGGAAATGAAGCCTAAGCAAGCCAGCAGCAACGGTAGGATCATTGTTGAAGTGAGATTCAACTGTGGACCTTACAACAGCTTCAGCCTTTGGACATGAAGAAGAATAAAATACATTCTGCAAACCTGATCCCTGCCCCTGAACTAACGAAAACATCACCAAGTACTTCACTATAAAAACCAACCAAAAAACTCCCATTTCCAAAATTGGTGCTAAATGAAACCAAATTCGAGCTTATTATATAATGGGATTTGCTTAAGTTACATTACCGGCCTGTCTTTTCTTCGACATTCGAGCTACTCTTTACCATCTTTGTAGTGGAATACGTGGAACCATTTGTAATATAAGTGCTTTCTCTTTTTTAATTAATGCATTAACAAAAATATAAGAAATGGGAATTGATAACGTTAGACGCCTTTCTTATCATTTGATCAACACGTTTTTGTTGTTGCTTTTACTTGTTAATGTTGAAAATTGAGGGACTGCAGGTATCTATCCATTCCCTTCTTTTTCTTCGCATTCACACGGATAAGATTTGAGAATGTCCAATAAGAATGCATATTGACATCATGGAGGCTAAATTCTGATTTCTGAACTAGGTCCATGTCCTCTTTCATCTTCCATTTTCTTCATCAACTGCTGCAACTCCTAATGTATTATATCAGATCTGGTTCTGGGGTGGGAAACACCTCCTGTTCCAAACACATGAACTTTATTTCGGAACTCTATCCAACTGTATGCACTTTTAGGCTTCAAACCCATGTCTTTGATTGTTACCTTCAGTTTGTCAACCGTGCAGAGCATTGAGGGGATCCAATTCACAAGGCTGCTCAACAATTCGTTTCTCCATCTTTACTTGCTGGTGGATCCTGTATCCATCTAGCAAAGCTCTCAATACATCTGCACTATTTTCAATCTGGTGTTCCTTGATATAATTCCATGCCTCATCGAAGAGTCTATCACGAGCTAGAAGGGGTAGCAGCAGAACACATTGTGTAACTGTAGGTGTCAAAATGCGATTGATGAAAGACATTCCTTCATCAACACTGCAAGCAGTCACACAAGCATGGAGAACTGCAGCATATGTCTACTCATCTATTTCTAAGCTGGAGTTTTTCTCCATCTCCAAAAACAAACCTAGTCCTCGCTCTTCCTGTCTATGCAAGTGTCACGCCTTAAAAAGATGAAGTATCTAAATCCCACATCTGGAAAAAAAATAGAGGTAGCGTTGTATACCTTATCATGCATGTTTTTTGGGAGAGAATGTTATGCCTTTGAGAAGTAGGAAATAAATCCCACATTGAATAACAAGCTTAGTTGTCAATTTATTATTTTATTGTTAAAATAATAATCAATTCTTGAATTTTATAATTTTTAAATTTGATTCTTAATTTGTTTTACTATATTATTCTTTAAATTTGAATTTTGCGTAGTATCGATGGTGTAATATTATAAAATTTATCATTTTACGTAATATTAAGTTAATCAGTTTAATCCAAAAAAAAAGAAAAGAAAAGGAAATCAGTTATTTTTCAACGCTACAAATTCTATTACAATTGCAGCTTTATCGATAAGAATAAATGATTAATTAAAATAAACAGAAATTTATGATTATACCAAAACGTAGCTTCAAGTTATATAGGATTGACATGTGTTAGCATCTAAGACTTGCATTATAAAAGCATGAAATTTTGTAAGAAAAGTTAATACTAAACAGAAAAGGAATCATTTTCAAGCATAATTCACCTATATTACCACAATTCAACTACTTGGCAGCTTGTTCAAGAACAAGACTCATTTTCCATGCCTCGTCCAATCCCCTTATTTGCAGCGGAGGCAACGAGAAAACGCTAACAGTTGAGCTTCCGCTCCGAATTTCCTTCAAAACCCGCAGTGCTGATATTGTGCTTTTCATATATAAGCTCTCCACATTCTTTGCTTCACTGGAAGCTGGTTTTTCGTGCTTGGGGAAGACGTGTTCCAGCATCGTCTCGCACTCTTTCACGAGCTTGTAAAGCAAATCCGTGGTGTAAAAGGGCTGTTGCAACACTCTTTGAATGAAAGGCAACCGGATCAAAGCACCAGTTCTTTTGTCATACTTCTTCAGTATTTTCACCAACCCTGTTCATAGCATATTGAATTAATGATTTATTCCATTTGATACAGGAAGGAATTTTATAAACACTAATGCTAAAAGATCCAGGGGATCTTCCCACAAATTCTATTAGATAATGAATCTGTTTCCAGGAGACCATGGTGCAATTCTGGTCAGCCCAGCAGGATTTAGTACAACTCTAATTATCTCGTCTATAACTCTTTTTACCAATTACATACCTTTACAAAATGTTTTTTCTTAAATAACCCTAACAATTTGGAGAACTGAAAATCAGACCAGACTGGCATAAATCTATAATAATGGCAGCACATGGTGAAGCAAATGCTCCCAATACAGTCATATGGACCCTTTAAAGAAGTGATGAACATTTAATGTTTAATTAAAGAATGGATGTGGATAAGTTGTCTGGCAGAGTATGGATGTCAAAAGGAATACGTACAGCATATTAAAGTAATTCTTACTTCAAGGAAAATGGATCTAACACTAACAGGCAAGTTCTACAGGAGTTTCCAAGTTGCTACAAATCTAATATTGTCCCTAAACAAGTCATCCGGCCTGCTAAAACCGTGTACTACTAGTCTACTAATTATGTAAAACATTGAAACAAAGCAAGTGGCATATACATTTGATTAAAGTATTAAACAGAGGAAGAGATTAAAAAAAAGAGAGGCTGAAATACCTGTGTAGTTAAGGACGCTATAATTTTCTAATAAAACCATCTCGCCATGAAAGTCCACTATCTCCTTCCAAATCTTTATCATCTTTTCAGTAGAATCATTTGCCTTTGCCACGTTATCTTGTAATTCCTGCATCCCAAGTTCCCAACCCAAAATAACTCATCAAACAAGCATACAAATTTACACAATAGAAAACCCATACAGCCTAGACTTAAAACGAATTATGTCTCGAACTTTGAGTATTTACATCGCAATTAGAATGGAAATTAAACAGCGTCGTTTCGTTTTGGTTCAAATAATGAATTTTTCATCCCTGCTTGTTTACCGGGAAAGCAGGAGAAAAAGAAAAACATACAAACAAACAAAATGCTGCCAATAAAACAGATCGAAATCAAATCAGAGTTGGAATTACCTTCAATCTAATGATGTATTCTTCCTCTTTCTCAACAAAAAACGTGTTGAATTTCTCGAGCTCATCTTCCAACAGCTTAAGAAAATGGGTCTCCTCTCTGGACATAACGTCTCCATCACCGGAGTTATCTATGGCATCCACCACGTCACCAGAATTTTCATCCAACCTACGCCGTTTATTCGGACTCTCGTTGGAATTACGTTCAATGAGCTTTACTTTCTTCTTAAGCTCCTTGTAAGAAAGGAATTTGTCCCGCCATTCAGGCAACGTATCCTCGATCTGGTTACTAAGGCTCTTCCCAAATTTCATAGCGAAAACTCCTTAATGCTTGAATCTTAACGGGGTGTTCGGCTGGAGAGAAAAATGACAGAATGGAACGGGGGTGGGGGTGGGAGAAGAAGGGGTAAATATAACAGAAAATTGAAGAATATTCGGAGGGATGCGGTGTGATTTGAGAATATCCGATAGTTTCTTTATTTTTAGGCTAAAGTGAACAAATAGTCCTCCCACTATAATATATTATTTTGTTGAGTATCTAACTATTAAAAGTTATAAAATAATTTTATAATTATAGAGAATTACTTTGTTGAGTCTCTCAACTATTAAAAATTACAAAATTGTCGTCTGACTATTCATTATATTTCGAACTTATCCTTTTTCGTTAAAAAATTACCTATAAACTAAGTTGAACGTTAACCTACTAACTAGAATATAATAAAATTTGATCTCAGAATCTCAAACGACTATAATATCTCAATCAATATATTACCGTCAAGTTAAATGACTGATAATTTTTAATAGAAAATGATGAGTTTAGAAGATAATAAATAGTTAGATGATCATTTTGTAATTTTTTATAATCGATAGACTCGACAAGATAACTTCCTATAATCGTATGCTTATTTTATAATTTTTAATATTTTAAGGACTCAAAAATAATATCTTATAATCTGGAATCATTTGTGTATTTTATATTTATTTTAATATTTGATTTCATAAATTCTTTCGAAAGAGTACCTTTTTACTTTGTCTAATTATTTTATCAATTATTTTATCTCGAAACGTTTCAAATTTTGACACGTGGACATTTTATTGTGGAAGTTTTCCGCTTATGGTAGCGGCTGGAAGCTGGAGAGAGAGGCCGAAGCCGGATGAGTCTACTGTATGTATGGTATAAATTTATAAATAGTTATTAAACTATGATAAAATATTTTTTTTTGTCATTCAATTTTTTTAAAATAAATATTAAATTTTAGATTTCACTAAAAGAAGTATTGACATTTGACTATCGTTAAGAGCTAATGTTGCATATAAAATAAATAAATAAAATCTCATTTGTTTCATCAATTGTGACTAAAATTTTGTTTTAGATGTTTTTTTAATAATTTTAAGTAATAATTTCAAAATTTTAGAATTTTTTTTTTAAATTTATGGATTTTCAAAATTTATTTTTTAAATTTTAAATATATTTTTAAAATTATATTTAAAACTACTAAAAAATTAAAGAATTGAATCACATTGTTTAATAAAAAAATGATTTAATTTTTATAACCAAAGTTAATGGATTTCAAAAATTATAAATTATAAACTGTCAAATGTAACCACAATTAAATAAAAACATTATTTATAAAATTTTTTGTGAATTAATAAATTCATATTTTTTAAAAAATAAATATAATTTTATGAATTAAAATATTAATTATCAAGTTATAATTTTTTTAAAATACTTTATAAATTTAAAGATGAATCATGAATATATATATATATATATATATATATATGTAATTTATTTTTAGAATTATTATTTCAAAATATTGAAAAATATAAAAATAAAATTTAGTTTATAATTGAGGGTTGAATGAGATTTTTTTTATTAATTTAACATGTTAAGTTATTCTTTTAATTATAATTAAAGATACGATATTCATTTTGTAATACAGTTGAGGGATTGATTGAATGTGATATTTTGTAACTTTTAAAGTTCAATGTCCAAAAGGAGTATTTTAGTATAGTTTAATGACCGTTTAAAATTTTTACCTTTAAAATTAGTGGTACATTTCCGTACATGGCATGTATTGTAGAATTTTTCGGCCGAAGCCTTGCTTGTAGTAGCACTTGGTACTCTTGCGAAAAGACAATTGTTTGAATTTAAAAAATTTAAGAACATTATTTTATTTTTTATTTTTTTCCGGTGATATTCACAATACAAGTTATGTTGTAATTTGTGTTCCAAGAGTGGGGTTAGTCCGGTGGTTGTGTTTTACTATATATCTTTCATGAGTCTTAAGTTTAATTTTTTTTAATTCCATTTTTTAAGCTATTATTAATGTTATCATCTAATTAAATGATTAAATTAAATTTAAATTTAAATTTAAATCAACTTAGTAGAATATATAAATAATGAAGATAGAACACATAATTACACAAATTTATCTAATTATCGTAATAATATTTTTATTAAATATTATCGACTAATAGATTGGTATAATATTTTTGTTAAAAGCCGAGCCGAAGTAAGTAGGGGACCTTTTTTTATTTTTATTTTTCTGTACTTGTCACACGTATTTTGACACTTGGTGTAATTCCATATCCATTTCCCTCTCGCCTAATCAAAAATTAAAGAAAGGGTGGTTCTGCAATTAAACCCAAACCACTCACTTTTCTGTAGAAACTATCAGAGAAGTCAAATAAAAGGGTAACTTTGGTATTTAGACCTTAAAAGTAAGGTTGAACATGGAATTTCCGGTTTACACAAGTTGCAAATGTTGCCGAGACAAATATTAAAATGAAATAATAAAGCAGCATATTCTATTTTGGTTCCTCTGTGCCCATCATCCACCCCAATAGCTTTTGAAAACTAAGGAGTATTCCATATATAGAGAGAGACAATTATTGAATATATATATATATATATTTGTTTGGCTTCCAAGTCAAAATATCCCAAAGAATATCGGCCTATGTATTCCTGAATTAAACTGAAAGCTTCTATTATTTCAAAGAAAAGGCTTCTATTAAGGATAATGACATTTGTTTATCGTTTTTAATGAAATGAGAAAAATGCTTTCCCAATGCCAAGACTTTTTTAATGAAAAAACGTCCTAGAAAAAATAACTAAATGGAGTAATTAAAATCAAGACATATTCATTAAACCCAGGTCGAGGTGTATCTCACTGTCCAGATATACATAAAAAGATCCTAGAAATATAACTATATATTTATCGTGGGGTTAGATTGGATTTAAAATATAATTAATAAAAAATATACAATCATCGTATAATTCATTGAATTAGAAAAAAAGGTAAATATAAAATCAATGATTAATTAAAAAAATAAAGCTATGAAAAGTAATTATCCAAAGTTGTAGCCTAAATATATTCAGAGAACATGGGAATATTTTTTGAGAATTCACATACAATTATGTTATGAATAAATTAGAATTCATTCAAACATGTCGAGAATAAATTTTATTTTGAATAAGATGTGTATATTATTCAAAGAAAAGTAGAAAACCTGCTACAACTTACAAAGCATCCAACAAAAATAAAGATAACTCATGTAGCACGTGGATTCCTATTTACACCATCAACCACATTAATGTTTCTATTCATAATATTTAACCTCACTATATCCCTAATAGCATACAACTCCTCACTTTTAGTAGTGTTATTAAAGTGCATACCATTCCTTTCCTCCTAAATATAGTAAATCCAAGTATTCTTAACCGTTTTAACGATTAAAAAAAAATAGAGCCTAAGGTGCAGGGACGTCCAATCCAACTCCCCCTTCAAGCCTCTAGCCTTCTGAGGCAGGTCACACAAATTACCGGATATGCCTAGAATAATGACATTCGAAAAAAAGGTCATTTCTAGTTTCCAGATCTCCACAAAGGACACACAAACCATCCGTACCAATTCCCATCTACATCAATCTGTCCTTGGTAGAGAGCCTCCCTAGAATAGTTATCCAAATATAATAAAGTGTTTTGGAACATATAAAGGAAACCACAGAGTCCTCTGCCACAAAACTTTGGCAACTTCCAATCTGATGCAAGGCTATATCCACCTAGTAGTAACACCATGAAGGTCAGGAGCAAGCGCAAAGAGAGGACGGGCATCAGACTGTAGAGTAGAGCCAGCAGCTTCCTCACAATCCAACTGACAGTATCTTTGATTATGAAAATATTTACAAAGAAATTTTTTACATAAAAAATTATTCAAAAATTTTTAGATGAAAGAGATGATATCACTTAAAAAAGTATTTACATAGAAAATATGAATGTTCAATGATTCTCAACCTTTTGATAATGAAAGTTCATATTCCTAACATACGCAATGCTCGAATTCGAAACTTCAAAGAATAATGACAAGTTCTTTAACTATTAGATCGCTTGGTTCGTGCTACCTCGATCTTCTAATATTGAATTATATAATCTGCAGTTTTTAAGACGGATGAATGCTATATGTCATTTGCAGTGCAATTCTCTCTCCTTCGTCAATTTGATCTCTCAGTTCAGTAGTCTCTGTCAACATCTTGTGTTTTGGAAGGCAATGTATTAGCAGAAACTTGAGCATTATTCCCATTCCAAGCTGGACGGTCATTACCCAATTGGAGTCCGAGGTCTTCCCTGCCATCTTTTGCCGCACGTCGATATGGGAATTCATGGTATCAAACCTTAGACAAGTCATGGAAGGAGATGGCGCCTTGCTTCACTTTCTAAGCTTGGCATGGTGAAGTTGAGATAGCTCATTTGGAGTTGATGAATGGGAAGAACTTCTGGTTCCTTGCTGGTGATATTCACTTGATATGGGGAAGTTCGTTTTTTGCATTCCTCCTACTTATTGAAAACAGTAACACCGGTGGTAGAGAAACTCCGATGACCGGAGGAAAGAACAGAGAGAAGAGAAGAAGACTGTTAAGTCTGATTTAGTAAAGTAAGAAATATAGATGAAGAGGAGCGTGAACTGAAAAACAATTCTTATTCATTCACTTATCTCATACAACAACAACAAAACCATATTCCCAATATGCAATGAGTAGAGTAGAATGCTGCCCTCAACGTCAGGTTGAGAGGAGTTTCGTGAAAATACTCCGATAGTCAAAATATTAAAAATAAAGATATTCACTTATCTCATAACAAAATACAAATGATAGTATTTAAAGCCCAAAGGCCTAGAGCCAGATCAACCCAACTAACTCAACAGAAACCAAAACTGACTAACCAACTATACAACAGCCAGTTTATATTCTATACCCTATTACTACTCGTTAAGATCGCTGCTTGATCATACGCTCGGGTTGCCTCTTCAGCTGTTTCAAATGTACCAAGCCATACCCTTCTCTTTGTGCAACAAAATACACAGAACAAACTTAATAAGATTCAAGAGAATTAATGTTTACTGAGAAAAGCTTGTAGAATAGAGTTACAGTAAAGGGTGACGAATTTCAGAATCCCAGGAGCCCCAGTTTCTCTGCCTGACACCTCTAAACTTCTTTGATTGCACCATAATTTGGAAACAGATAAGATGATTTCAATCTTAATCAGGAATGGGAAAAAGCAGGCTCTCAAAGAATAAAATCCACCATACATGGATGAATCAAGTACGTGACATATATTAGAGCTAACAAGAGGTTGAATTGTTAGAGGCCTATACTAGGATGCTCGTAATTAACATGGAAACCTTTATTAAAAACCTTGAGAACCTACCAAATAAATGACTGGGGCTTACCTTGCATGCTACTCCGTCATCAACTGCTTCCATGCAATATATAGTTAAGAAAACGACATTGATGGGACAGATCTTTTTTTTTTTTTTTGGATAAATTAGAATTTATTACCCAAAATAGTAATGTTATGCTACAACAAATCAACTAACAAAAGGGACAAAGCAACCTAGTACAAAAGAATCAAAGCAATTGATTAGTACTATCAAGTCTATTAATAGCTTTGCCCCTAAGTCTAATGTTAACAGTTTCAGTAATGTCATTAAGCAAAATGTCGATCGATCTTTGCCGACCCTGGAAAATATGTTGATTCCTTTCCTGCCAGATGAAGTAGTTAAATGCATTCCAAGAAATATAGACTAATTGTTAACATTAATTGCAAGGGTCATTTTCTTGTGGCATGGATAACCCTCGTAATGGAAGCTTGAAACTGAACGCTGATGGAGCTAATTAAGGAAATTCGGGGATTTCAAAAGCATGTGACATTTTCCGTAATGAAATAGGTAACTGGATTTTGGGATTCACTGCTTATTCGGGTATTTGTACAAGCGTGGCCCTGCACTTCATGCGATTAGGATCGGACTATCGATTGCCTGAGATTATGATCACAGAGGTATTGAATGTGAGGTGGATGTTCGGATAGTTCTACAACTCATCGAACATGGAGATGTCGCTTCACGATTATAGAAGACATTCGAAGTTTGAAAGCCTGGAATTGAACTTTCTCTTTCCAACATGTCTACCGGGAAGGTAATTTTTGTGCAGATATTCTTTCCAAAATGGGTTGTTCCTTAGACGAGGAACTTGTTGCGTTCGGCTTTCCACCGACTGAGATATTCTTTTTTTATGTTAATCTTAGGGGAGTTTCCTTCCCTAGAGGTTTAACCGTAAATTCGTTTTTTACCATTTTTTTGTGCAACCAAAAATAGAAATATTTTTAAAGAGAAAGATTTCTATGTTTTTAAAGAGGTTTAACCGACGGATCTTTATGGGTAGCTTGGCTTAAAAACTATGTTTTTAAAGATAGATTTTTGGTCTGTGGGAATTAACTCCACTGCAAGTTGGAGTTTCAAGAGACTTTTGAAACTCAGACCTGAGGCTCACCAAATTCTGTCTTCAGGTGCTATAAAAGTCACTAAAATCTGGGATTTTATTAGGGAGAAGAAGGCAAAGGTCCCTTGGCAGAAACTGTTATGGTTTCCCTGCACATTCCTAAACATAGTCTGATAGCATTGATGGCTTTCCTTGATAAACTTCCAACAAAGGACAGACTTCAACGAATGGGACTTATCAGCGAAAGCATATGTGTACTCTGCAAATCTAAACAGGAAACACGGGACCATTTATTTTTAAAATGCCCAACTGCTATTACAATTTGGACAGCAGTTTTCTCACTTTCTAGTTTACGTGTTACTGCTTGTTCATGGGAGGTTCTTATAGCATCGGCTAGTTCTAACTGGAAGGGAAAATCATTGCTTACTATGATCATGAAGATAGCTCTCAATGCTCTCACTTACACATTATGGGAAGAGAGAAATCAAAGGGTGTTTCAAAACCGAACAAGGTCTGCATAAGCGATTCTTAAAGTTATTACAGATATTGTAAGCTTACAACTAGGCGGTAGGACTATTAATAGAGTCGATAGTGTTAATATTTCTCTATGCAATCATTGGGGTATAGTTGAACATTGATCTTCTTGTTTTTAGCGTGTTTTGTTTCGTACCTTGATGTATATTAAAGCAGATTCTGTTCTTGGATAATAATACTTGATTTATCCACACACAAAAAATAGAAATATAGATAGAGTTTTGTAACCAAATTCATTTTTGGCATCTCTGAATTTGCACTTGCAAAGACAAACTGTCCATGGGTTTAGTCTCTTGATTTTTCAATCTTGATGAGGCTGCTAAGCTTTAAGGTAAGCCCACTGACATGCCTTCTTTTAGCTTACTTTGTTAGCATATTAAATATATATTAATAGAATAACAAATGTTAGTGTAATAATAAAGCATATCGTATTTTTAGTAAAATAATTGAGTTAATTGCATATTACCCCTAAACTATAACCCTCATTTTAAATTGATCCTTAAACTTTTGAATATTCCAATTTCATCCCCAAACAATGACTCACATTCTAAATTAGTCCTTAAACGTTTGAACATTCTAATTCCATCCCTAAACTATGACTCTATTCTTAAATTGGTCTCGGTCTATATGGATGCCCCCAAGGTTTTGATTTTGCGATAGACCATGATCTTAGATAGGACCTTCAGGATTTGGGGATGATCTATTCTTAGACTGAGACAACTCTTGCACAAGGTTTTTACCATAATTCAGAAGGGAGGTAAATTTTTGCCAGATCGTAACTCCATTTGGTTGACTTGGGACATTTCTTCATAAATTTGAACTATCTGGCATGATAAGACTAGACTCTACATTCAATATATTTCAATTTCATCCTCAAATTTATCCATATAATTTGAAATGTTCAAAAAGTTTAGGGACCAATTTAGAATAAAGATCATAGTTTGGAGATGAAATTAAAATGTTCAAAAGTTTGAGGACTAGTTTAGAATGATAGTCATAGTTTAAGGATGAAATTGAAACATTTAAAAATTTAAATTCCAATTTAAAATGAGGATAATACTCTGAGGACATGTGATGTACTTAACTGAAAATAATTGAAGTTCAGTTTTAGTTGAAATAATATTAATGAATCTCGATTATGAAATAAAAAAATTATATACGAAAAATATAAAAGGAAAATTATTAATAAACGATGTCAAGATTTTGAAGTTCTTCATTTACCAACAAGAAACATATAAAAAAGTCTTAGAATATGTTTAATGAAAAAATCAATAATAATATTTTTTTAAAGGAAAACTTACAAAGAAGTTTTAAGACATAATGCAATAAAATAATTATAACGTTTGAATGTAGTGTCAAATTTATCCCTTTTTTTTTTTGAAACATTTATGCACTGAACGTTTATTTTTGGGTCAATAATACTAATTCAATAAATTATTGGAGATTTTTGGCAGGTCAAGTTTCACATTTAAATCTTCCAGTCCCTGGGTAAACATCCAAACTTATCTTCTTCCCTGTGTAGTTGTTAATGATATTTTAAAATATGTTATTGGATGATCTTCTAGCATACTAAATAATAATAATTTTGTTTTAATTTCTAATAACTAAATGCCTAAAGCATAATCTGCCAACCCATTACTCCTAATTTGTTGACTTACCAAGTTATATAAAACTATGATCTACCCTTTCAGTTTCTTCTTAAGACCAAGATGCGTTACCCATGATAACTGGAAACCCCGTTTTCTTCTTCCACGAAGCTTCCTTGTATCAATAAATTATTGTTGTTTGGGGACTACTTCTAAAACCCAAAGTTTCTCCATAGACTTGTTTGTTTGTGACGTTAGCTGATAGATATACTCTATCAATTTGCAGAAAACTACAGCAAGTGGATTCCATCAGTAACCCTTGTCTACCAAAACTTGTTTTCTTCGGTAAATCATGACCATATGATTGTCTATAGGCTTAGCCTTTTCATCCATTCAGCCTAAAATATTACTTTTTGCTATGGAAAAAGAACGGTCCTGTAATATTCTTCATGTTTTCATGCTTTAGGTCATGTCCGCCCACGATGTTCCTACAGTCATTCATTACGGTCTTAAAGATATAGAAATGTGCTTTCACATTTGCCACATCATGCCTTTAACTTGTGGCTACAAATTAAGTTCCAGGACACATGATTGAGAGCTTGCCTTGCAACTATTCCCAGGCTTTAATAACTGGGATTTAACAGGATTAACGTTTTGTGCAGACAGTTTTAATTTTAAACCACAATAAAAAAGAAGAAAACCAGCTTTACCTTTTGATTTTATAATGAGTGTGAAATGAGTCAATGATTTGATTTGATGTAAATCAAGACTTATCCAAGCCGAAAGGAACCTCTCTTATCCGAATTCAGTTAGTGTTGCCAATAAAACAAGAAAAATCTTGCACAAATCAAAGTCATGCACAAAATCACATGGCACCCACTTCTGCAAACGTTATTTACCAGTTTCCTGTTTCCCTCTTAATACGTAAAATCTCATGATTTTGATGTTTATCTGCAATTTAATGTGTTTGCTTACTGCCGGAGGACACTAATGATTGAATTGATTACTGCCGGAGGACACTAATGATTGAAGTACAAGCATGTGCAGATGAAGCCCCAAACAGCACCTTATTTCTAATCTCTGTAAATTATCATTTTTTTTAAAAAAAGAAGTAATAATCTCTGTAAATTATCAATGCTCTTACCAAATTGGTGGCACAGTCGTTTTCCTATCTTGAATTCCCCATAGATCTTAAAACTCCAATGCCCAATACTTTGGCATGGCAGACTCCGACACATCATGCATGACACAAAGCGAACGAATCTTCAAAGGTAAATTAACCCATAGATTTATTTAGCAGATCAAACTCGATATACGCTCCCTTAGTTCTCGTAAGGGCGTGAAAAATTCACTCTCCGAAATCCGGATGAAAATTAAGGGAGCTTGATATATGCACCAGAGTCCATAATACATGCTTCTTTAGACTAATGTTTCTACTCGAACCTATTAGAAGAACAAAGTCTCGAAGATTCAAACCATATCTATTCGGTAAGCATAATGTGAATGAATCATTAAACGATTATAATGTTACTCCCTTTAATGTTTCAGATTCGAGGTCAAATCTTTTTGAAGAAAGGGAGGATGATACATGCATCACAAGGCTCACATCAAAGGAAGAAGTAATAACTCTTCCAAATGATCCACTTGTCCAAGCCTTGGAAAAGAAGACCAGAACAATAGTAGACTTGCGACGACTTTTTGAATGGGATCCTGATCTTATTTTGTCGACATGTCTTCTGGAGATACAACCTTCTGTCTCTTATCTTTCCAACGGTTTTTTAATCGCATCAATCCGATATCAGGAACTCAACATATGACCATTTTACTGAAGATGGTGCATGAAGGAAATCCTATACGGGATTAATACGTGATTTTGTAAATATTACGAATTTTCAATATTTATATTGATTATTTGTAATATAATTTAATATAGGATGAAGAATTATCTTTTAGGATCATATTTATTATTTTATTAAGAATTAAGGTTGGGTTAAAACAATATTTTTATTTATTATTATTTTATTAGGAATTAGAGTTAAGACATGTTTAGTTGATTATTATTTTATTCTTTAGTTATTTAGGACTTTTAGAACTCATCCCCTATATAAAGGAGGCTTTATTTAACTTTGTAAAACAAGATTTCTTTGATTAATAATACAATGAGAGTTTGTTTTTGCAAGTGTTGATTGTCTTGTGTCTTCGAAGCTTCTTCTCCTGGAGTTCTTTCAAGTTCTTGCGAGGGAGATTAATCTTCACACTTTAATTTGCCTTTTCATTGCACTAGGAGGGTTGGTTAGAGTCATATTATCGTGTTTGTCTTTTCATTGCGACTAGGATGATTCAATAGGATAATATCCATCGATTTTCCACATATCCATCCACACCATCAATCATCTTTACCGTTCACCTTCATAAGGGAGATCTTTTGATTTATTGGTTATTTTACTTTATTTTCAAATTTCTTTATCTTTTATTTATTTTGTTTTAATCTTGTTTCTTACATTATTTCCAGCACCTAAATAAAACCCTAAAGAACCCTAGTTATTGCCGCCACCTTTCGTATTCATTTCTTATTATTTTGCATCGAGTCTAAAACTTTCTAGGTTTAATTATTCAACAAGAGCAACGTTCATTAACCCGTCACCGCTTCCCTATAAAAGCCCCATGTGTGTGGAGTTTGTACAGACAAAAGCATATGTTTGTCTGTCATTGTACATTACAGATCATTGTCCGTTTCATGCGAAGTCGCTTTTATCGTCTTAGTTCCCACCCCCCTCCCGTTTTGGTTGTTACTTAATTAGCCTCATTCTTTCCCTTAGATTCTGACGCTGTTGAAAAATGTTTGAATTTTTGCCCAAATACACAGAAACCGATTCACCTTTTCAATCATCTAACCTTTCATGCATGCATCAGCTACCTCTAACTGATTTTACAGATAAACATGCATCCCTTAATTAACATCTTAGCCAAAGAAACTAGACATTACAAACAACTCAAACGAAAATAGGAAAAAACCCCTTAAAAATATTACCAACCCCCAAAGATCCAGACTTTATTCTCTAACATTTAGACATAAATTCCCAAATCCCAATTTGTAATATGCCAACGGAATACAAATAAAAATAATAAAAAAAACACCTAAAAGTGAAGCGTCCAGACCACGCGCTGCCAAAATTTAGTAGGCATATAATTGATGTCAGCAGCGAGGGCGAGGGGTTTGGTTTTCTCGTCGGGCATTGCCGTGTAGTTCACGAGCAGCAGTTAAGAGATCCCAATCCTACAGTCTTGTCTCTAAAAGCCAACAACGCCAGTCATCGCTTTCCTTTCAACCCACCAATCAGATTTTCTCTTCCTTTCTAGAGATATAAATAATTGCCCATTTGATTCCAATATTTTATTCAGACTAGTTTATGTTATAAACCATTTAACACCAACTCTCTTCTCCCATCCTCTCTTTTTCAGCCATAGCAACCTCTATTGGGGCTTGAGATTGTTGGTTAAAATATGGCGTCCATGTTGAGCTCACAAGGAATGGTATTAGCAACAGCTATGGCAGTCTCTGGCACTGTAATTCTCCTTGCTTTTCGCCTACAGAAATCTTTAGATCAAATCTCCCAGCCTTCTCAACAAGTCCTGCGTTCCTGCATATCTTCTGGTATATATGATCTATACAAACGATTGCATGAGAACATACTGTTTTTACATAATTAAACATGTTTCTTTTTTCTTGGGTTTGTTTTAAAGAAGGGAAGAAGAAGAATAAGAAGAAAGTGCGGTTTGCTGAGGATGTAATGGATCCAAGGAGTGATGGCGCGGAGTTCAGGAAACAGCTGAAGAATCGTGTCAGGATCAACAATTCAGCAACGTCGGCTTTGAATTCAACGCTAAAGTTCAAGAAATTTGACGGAGGTAGAGATTTAGGAATCCCTGCTAATAGAGTTGCTCTATACAATGGAATTCTCAGGGATCGTGTTGTTCAACGATTAGCTTACTCTTACTGACCAAAAAATAGGCGGGGCAGACAAAAAAAGAGTAAAATCAACACAGATTTGATTTTTATTATTGTACAATCAAATCAGTGTTTATTTTTCACTACACTTTGTGTCTCTAGTTTGTAATTTTGTAGATAGTCAAGCTTTTTCTTGTGTAGTTTTTTCGAATTTATCCTTCTTAATATATCTGAATTTTAAATTTAATTTTCTTTAACATTTATGGTTGAAAATCAAAATCAATTAATAATATATTGTTCAAATTATATCGTATAAGTTGTTTTTAAATTTTAAAGTTTTATCAGAAATTAGACTACAGAGGTTCATGATCACATCTGCTCTGTCTCATGACTTGAGATAAATAATTAAGGTAAAAAGAAATGAATAAAAAATTTAGCCGACGGCCGGACCAAGCACAGCTATTAACGTCATAATATATAGAATACTCGTGTATAAAAGGAATGGAATTGTGTAGATTACCGTTACGTCTTGAATAGTGTTTGTTTTCTTTAAATGGTAATTTTTCACAGTAAAAATTTGATATTTTATATATATTTGTGTTTATCTCAATATCTATTTAGGAAGAAGAGAAAAAGAAACTTTACTCTAAAGATTGTTTGACTTTTAAATATCATAAAACAACATGACAAATGACGTGCGTCCACCTTAACTTTGACTAAACTACTTTCTTTTCCCCTGTTGGCTCAATGACTTTTAAAGTTTTTATATGAATGTTTTTTCTTTAAATTCTTTTAACTTAAATATTATTATTTTATAATTAATGAAATTTATTAATCGATAAATATTTTAATGTGTACTGATTACGTACCTAAAATGCATTTACAATTGAAGTGCAAAAGAATTTGGAATAGGTTAGTCGATGTTTGATGACCCAATAATTAGAGCCTAATTAAGCAATAAGGTTAGCTCTATGTTACATATTAATTCTCCCTCCAGCGGCCCTTGTCTTGTCCCAAACATGTTCGAGACGTGATTAGATAAGCCATGTGAGCATTTTCATACATCAACCAATCACATTTCTGTAAAAGAAAGGAGTACAATCCCAAATACATTTCTGTAGAAGAACACAATTCTTCTTGTCCTCAACATTATTCTTCTCCCCCCCCTCTCTCTCTCTCTCACAATAGTATTCTTCTTCCCCCTTCCCCCCACTCTTCTTCTCCTCCAGCTCACTTTGTTTTGCAAGCCAAAGTTGTGCACTAGAAACGCTTCCGACGCCAACCTGATTTCATGGTAAATACCCTAGGATTGATTTTAGTTTTGTGCTAGGAACCATCGTCCGGATTGAAATTTCATTGTCCCCAATTCTTAATGTAAAACAATAGACAAGAAGTAATATATTAATCCAGAAATCCTTCATCATTTCGCCCTCTACATATGGGACGGGAGGGAGAGGGGATGGGGATGGGGGGACGGCAGGGAGAGGGAGAGAGGAGGGAGTGTGGTGGGGGGATTTTTTATTGTTTAAAAAAAATTAAATATAATTTTTTTAATTTTTTAAATAAAATCTTAAAATTATCATAATACGACGTGTGTCATTTAACCTAGTTTTTTAATTGTCGTCGTAATCGAGGCATCTAAAGTGATAATATTTATAATGTTAAGCATCTAAATTGATTGAAAAAAAATTTATACATCATTTAAGAAATACAATATAGTTTGACACTTATTTTTATATTAAACATTAAAAAAAAGGTGGCCGGACAAATTGTGTTGGCATAGCAGAGAAGTTATTAGTATTAGATAGTCCAACAGGTGCTTTAATCTCGCAGTTGACTCTAGAATTGTGAGGTAATTAAGATGTTTGGAGAACAAGTATAAATATGGAGGGTTGAAACAAGTATTAAACTAAAAATGATACATATCATCATTCACTTCAATGGATAAATTTTATTTAAAGATTATGAATTGATTGATATGAAGAAATAAATTTTAATTGATAAAAAATAATTTGATGATTAAAATGGATCTTATAATTCAATGAGTAATTAGATAATTTAGCGTAATAATAATTGGGACATATGGGAGCTGCCACACAAAGGCAGACGGCAGTGGGACATGACACATCCCCATTCAAAAAGGTATGCTTCAATCAAAGATAACCACATCGATAAAAACGAAAGGGCAGATTACGTAGCGAAATCTCATGGTAATATAAAGATTTAGATGCTTCCCTCAATTACCTCACTCATTAAAACATTATTTATTATTTTCAATTTTAAATGAAAACAAAAGAACCAATGGCTTTCATGTTCTTTTACATGTCGTCTTTCCTTTTTCAAAAAACAAAGTGGCCCCACCTCTCACGTTTAGTCAAAAAAGAGCCAATACTTTTTGCTTAAGTTAGCCTTCTCGACCAAATTAATTAACACAAAGTTACCCAATAATTTCCTCGTCATCTCAACAATTTGAATTTTGTGCTTCCGATAGCTCCTTATTTTCGCTCGATTTTTTTCTTTTTTAATTATTTTTATCGATAATATACATTGTTTGACCAACTTGAGTAATAAAATCCATATTATTATTTCTCTAAAAGCATTAGGTTTTTAAGGAAATGGGCAGCGACTAATTGCTTAAAGGAATTGATGCGGGTGAGGTAAGCTGATGAGTGGTGTTTGCTTTGCCCTAATAAAAATGGCGAGGCAGGCGGTTTGAAGATAAGGATCAGCGCCATTAAAAATAAGATAATGGGGGGGGGTGGCTACTTGATTTAGTGGTAATGAATAATGACGTTGCCATTGGTTCCTTCAAATGTTTGGAACTGTTCTAACATTACTATTCCCTCTTCTTCTTTTTCGACCAAGAAATTAATTTAACCATTCAGATCAATTCATAACGTTTTAGTCGATTAATTTAGCAACAAAATTAATTTGGGAATCTGTACTTCTAAGAAAGTACACATTGATTCCGCATGTTGTATGGGTTGTACCAACAACTTGAGATTAAACAAACAATTCTTTCTTAGGTGGTTGCAATGTTGCATCATTGCATGCATATCAGCTTAAAAGTTTCGTGTTGATTCAAAAATATATATTTGAGTTTCAGTGTTAAATGTTAGAGTAGCACTTATTGTTGATCCATATGATATTTTATTTTATTAAAACTCATAAAAGGTATAATTGGTTAGATGTTTTTTTGTGTGCATGTGACACTCAAATCTTAGGAAAAAAATACGGTTAATCGATTTTGTACCTTCGCTTGTGTGGTACATAGTGTAATTGGCGAAATTAGTTTTGTAGATTTTAAGCAATATACGATCAAACTGACATTGTTAATAACGTTAATGAGTAAAATATAAAAAATTATTTAAAAATAAGTATAACATGTGTTGAAGATACATATTAGCATGAGTCATATCAAATGATATATATAAGTTTTAACTTCAATTATACAACAAATACATATTTAAAAGAATAAAAAAAACTAAATATTTAATCGACATAAAATTATATTACCAAATGAAGGGGAAAAATTTACTAAATTTTATAGTTACACTGAAATTTAAATTTAAAACATGAATAGTCGAGATGAATCCCTGACGGTTAGTCCAGACCATTTTGTGATTATTATTCTTTGATATTCATCAATTAGATAAATGATTGTAAACGTAGAATATATTAAGTTCCAAGACACATGGCTTTGTTTTGCTTTTGCGTCGGGTTATGTTTGATTTTGTAGTCTAAGAATATGATATCGAAAATGACGTTAATTACGGCAAAAAATAGAAAAAAGGTAAACTACGCAAATGGTCACTAATGTTTTAGTAAGTTTTTGTTTTCACCATTGATGTTTCAAAAGTCACAAATCGATCACTAAAGTTATCGTTTATTACAAATTGGTCATTCGATGTTAACAGTCGTGGCGTGACGTAAAACACAGCTGGTACGTTACTTTCTTACATGGACTGGGTTGACCGCCAAATTTTTTAAACTTACTAAAACATTAGTGACCAACTACGTAGTTTACCCTAATTAATAAAGGGATCAAGAGTTTCATTTACAATTATGAATCTAAACCATTCTTCTTCTTCTATAAACACATTTCTTCTTCTTCCATAAACGCATTCCTTCTTCTTTCATAAACTCGTTTCCCCTTCTTCAATTTGTTTGAGAGAAAAAGTAGTAAGAAAAGTGATTTATTCTTCTTCTATTCGTCTGAGAGAAAAAGTTGTGAGAAAAACGAGCAAAGAAAAAGCATTGCACTTACATGGAGGTTATTGTAAAAGGGGGACAACACTATGCTTTATGGTAAGCTTCTTTTGAGTTTGATAGAAAAAAAACCTTAGCTGGGCATCCACAGTTGCAAAGCGAAACATCAATTGAGTCTTTAATCTTCACATAAATTATCTTCTCTTACAGTTTTCAATTTTTTTTAAATAATAGAGATAGGAATGAAAAATCCTAAATTAAGTTTAGGGATGGAGTTTTTTTAAAAGGAGGTGAGGTGACCATTGAAGGCTTTTGGGTCTCCAACGTTGCGGTCAACCCAGTTTATGTACGCAGTTAACGTGCCAGTTGTGTTTTTCGTCATGCGTGTTAACGACTGTTAACATCGAGTGACCAATTTGTAACAAATTATAACGTTAGTGACTGATTTGTGACTTTTAAAACATCAATGGTGAAAACAAAAACCTACTCAAACATTAGTAACTACGTAGTTTACCCAAAAAACTAAAGAAAAGAAAAGGACGTTAAAGAGTAACCAACAGGGCTAAAAATGGTAACTTCATGCCATAATAAGATATTTTTTATTAACAACAACAATTGAATTTCATTAATAAAAATAATAAAATAAATCAAAATTACAATATATTTCTATATAAAGGGAAAAATAGAGACAATAATCACAAAAAAACTCATACATAAAACAAAATTATTAAACTCAAAGACACGATGAAAAACAAAATTTACCCTTGAAAATGATGTACAACATCAAAGAAGTGATTAGCAAACCAAACAATTTGACATGCTACTTTGCTACACAATTCTAATTATATTGGTAAATAATCTTTTACCAAACAGAGAATCTGACAATACATAACCACCGACAAACCAATCAGAAAATAATTGTCATAAGTACCAAAATCTATAAGGAACGTGTCATAAGAGCAAAAAAAATTGTGGCATAAGTACATAAACCCTTATTTAAAATTAAAAAAAAAAGCGTAAGAAAAAAATGAAAACAAATGACATGATATATAAAAAAACAATAATAATCATCGACGATCGAGAATCAATATTAAAATTGATATCGTCGTTGGCTAAAAAAAATCAAATGGATAAAAGAATGTGACACAAAATTATTGAGGAAAAAAATTGATGGAAAATTTTAATATTACCTTTTGATATTATATTTGTAACTCTTCAATGTATAAACTAAATATTATTGTGCAAATAAATGTTTGAATTTGTGATTATTAAGATTTACTATTAGTGAATTAGCATAGTTGATATATTGGTTAAGTTTTTTATATTTTCTTTTCATTTCCTTTTAAATTAAAGTAGAATTAGATTTAAAATTGATAAAAAAAATTGTAATAGTAACACTGTCAATACACAAAATGCAACCCGTATTTTGGGTCTGATTTGGATAGCGACATTAATACCCTTCAGGAACCCAATTCAAAGTGGGTTCAAGCCTTGTTCTGATTAGATAAGCCCTTTCCGCCCCATAACCCAGGATTAAAATCAAATTCATAACAAGCTCTCAGTAATCAATTTCTTCTTTTTTAACCCCCGGCCCCAATCAAGTTGCAGCAGCCCCATTTCCCTCACCATCAAATTATCTTTCCCACCCACTATCCTAATCCCGAATACCCAATAATTTATTTCCACATTCCTTGCTTTCTATTTCAGCTGGCTTTTGATTTTCTTCTTCTTCTTATTCAGATTCTTCTTCTTGCAATCGTCGGCGGTTGTGAGGGGCGCTGATGACTGGTGTTCTTTTATAGCTTCGCTGTGTCATAGTTACTGTTCATAGTATGATTACTACTTGGGTCACTGACCTTCTCAATTACATGTGGTAAGTTATTTTTTATTTTCTAATTCGTAGATTGTTGTTCATTTTCCTTTATGTACTGACAAAATGAGTTAATATTTCAGCAATTTGATAGCCTATGAGTTAAAAGGTAGGTATTTATTAGGAGTTGGGACCAATCCCAGTTTAGAGTTGCTATTAGAAATCACATACAATAAGCATGGCTTGTTTATGCACAATCTGTTGCAACCGTAAACTGATTGACAGGATAGGACAAAAGCCTTTATACATGTGATATGAGGTGGAGAACAAGGGGCTTTTGCGAAGCTTAATATGCTTGCTTGGTTTTATTGTTTTAATGGATCTAATGCTAGCTCCCCTCCTAACAAGAAATCTGACTCTAGTTTGTCAGTCTAGGAATTGAATCCTTGAAAGGATAAAATTTCTTTGACCAAATGAAACCTCCTATACTTGGGAAAATCCATGTTCCTTCAAATTCATGTGTTCTGAAGTATCTTCTTGCTAGATGTTTTATATCAATGTGTATGCTTTTAACCTGGTTTTCAACAGAGCAGTCGTTGTTTTGGATGCTGCACTAAACCCACACCGATTATTGCTGTGGATCAGCCATCAAAAGGATTGAGAATTCGAGGGCGTATAGTGAGGAAGCCTAGCATTTCTGATGATTTTTGGAGCAGCAGTACATATGAATTGGAAAACAGTGCTCTCCAATCTCAAAGGAGCTTGTTGTCGATCAGTGCATCGAACCAAATTCTAAGTCAATGCAGTAGCATCAGTGGCATGGTCATCTCATCTGATTTTGTAAATCAGGGCAAGTTTTCGATTATTATTCTTTTTTCTAAGTCTACAGGATATATGAGCCAAGGATCGATCATTGAAATTTGATGCATGATATTGTCAACTTTGAGATCCACAAAATTAAAATGTGTCATTATCTTTGTGCTCATTGCAGGTCTTATTATCTGGAATCAGTCCAGACTCCAATGGATTAGGAGCGGTAGGCAAAGGAATCATACTCAACAAAGTCGAGAGCCTAGATTAAGGTGTGTCACTCATCATCTTGAGATTCTGAGTTTCTAGTCGAAAATAGTCATCCAGGAAATTTGCAGAGCAAAGTGCTTTCCTGCTGTTTAAGTAGATGTCAGTTTAATACACAGTTTTCCTTTACTAGCATCAGTTTTTTTCATCTCAAATTCTCAATTTAGTGGCATTCAGTTACTAAGAAGATGCTGCTGAAATGAAAATAAAATCTTGCTCAGCTTACCCTATTCTTTGATTGGCATTGAATTGCTGGACCATTCAATGAAAACAAAAAGTACATTGAATCTAGGTGAAATTTGCAGATTGTGTCCATTGGACAAATAGAGGGTCAAGTTTTACACCTTAAGAGTACCAAAAGCAAGCATGCCATTTAATTATGTCATGAAGTCTTAAACTATGGTAACCCAGAGAGGAGCTAGCCGGCATATATAGAACATGATAGCTTCTTTCCAAATACATCACCCTGTTTCCATTCCACATTTTACTTTAATAAGCAATATAGCTGTATGGTGAAAGTTTGTTTCGTCTTTATTTTTTACACACACACACACACACACTTTTTGGTGGTAATGAATTTCAAGTGTATTTAATGCTGACTAGTAAAGATTGTTACGAACAAATGAAGTGAAGAGTAAACGTATTGAGCTATGAAGAAACCTTAACGGGACTATGGATTAAACATGAAAAAGTAATCTTTTAGTAGTTTGTATCCATCCTACGAATCTTAATTTCGCAATGTTACATTGTTACAGTTTGAATGCATCTTATGAAAGTTTACTTGGGACCAGGAATCCATTCCCTCAGCCAATTCTTCTTTCTGTAAGTCTGCTCTTTATGTAGCTGGCTTGTAAGTAAGCTTCTCAAGGCCTGCATTGATTTTGCAGACTTCTAACAAGGACTTAATTTTGCAGAAAATGATTGATTTTTTGGTAGAAGTATGGGAGCAGGAGGGATTGTATGATTGAAGTTAGTATCAGAGAAAGAAAGACGATTTTAGTTTTTACATATTAAAAGTGTCCATCTTTGTAATTCTGAACATTTAGGGGAAGTTGTAAATAAGTGTGGGGAAACGAAGAAACAAAATGACCAAAATGGAAGTTTCTATTTCATTTGTGTAATTTGATATATCATACGAGTATTTTGTGCACTACATAGTATCCCGCCTGTGAGCCGACTGCCAACTCCTCATATGTAGACGACGGATAACCCATCTTCTCTCTCTCTTATTTATTTATTTATAATCTGAGGTAATTATAAGGTAGTATGCGTTCAAAGTCTTTCTTAATTATTGACAATGTACACACTATGACATAAATGCTCGAACCCATCTTCTTCTTCTTATGAAAAAACTATTGCCTTGGTACACACAACACGTCCTAACGAATCTTGATCACAAACCAATGAGATCCGAGCATGCAATGAGATTATAAAATGAATCAACTTAGGATCTCATTCACATGAATGATCCTTTCTTGAATCATTGCTTGTCTTGTTATACATTGCGCTCTGTGTAAGTATATTCTTTGTTTTTGTCGTTTTCTTTTTCTCTTCTTTTCGATTGCATAAGTTTAAACATTAAGGCAAAATAATAGTTACAAGCATAAAATGGTAAATATATATTTTGGTACCAAAGCCTAAACTTGGTTTTAATGTGTAATATGATATATATAAATTCAAATTTTAAGATTTAATTTGGTATATAAATTTTCTTTTTGGTCCAATTAAATATTTGAATTTAATTTGTTGGATCAAATTAGTAATCAAATTTAACTTTTTTTTGTCTAAAATAATACTTGTGGTAAATAACCTAACTGAACCATAAATTAAATTTAAGTACCAATTTAAATCCAAAATTTAAGTTAACTATTTAATTACACTTAAAAAATTAAATATAAAATTAAAACTTTAAAATTAAATTCAATTATTTAATTAAATAAAAAGATTAAATACAAATCACACTTTTTTTTTTGACAAATTATAAATCTAATCCTATCTAGAAGATAGGGGAATAGAGGTCTCTATGTAAAGGAAAGAAAGTTCTATGAGGGAACAAAAATGAGTAACTTGTCCAACCAACCAAACATGATTACTCATATACAAATCACACTTTAAAACTAAATTAAATTATCAAAATATATGTTTATAAAAAGATACTTAGTTTTCTCTGTTTTCTAATCAATTATTATAAAAGTGTGTGACAGAATAGTCAAACGAGGAAGATTTAAAGAACGATAATCGAAATTAAGACTAAAAAATGATGGAAATAAACACAACCGTAAATGTTATCTTTATCCTAACATTTTAGGTTAGATACAACCTAAAATGTTATATTTAAAAAAGATATAACATTTTCAATTACGTATATTTCCCCAATTTTTTTTTACCTTAAATGAAATCATCGTACCATAAAATTTCCCATTTCCGTATAACTTTAGTCAAATGAATTTTGAATTGACCTAAAAATCGAATATTGACCAAAAGACAACCAAAAGTAACAACTTGAATCCACACAATCAAAATTTAAAGAAATTTAAAGATCCTTGTTAAAATGAGTAACATTAAAATAAATATGTGTGTAAATTAATTTTTTTTTGTAATTTGTGTGTCAAAATTATATATATATATATATATCATCTATCGGATGACCCAAAAAAAATTATAATGTTTAATTGATAAATATTATATTTCAAAATTCTATTATCTTTTTTAATTAAAAATTTAAAAAGGTTATAAATAATTAAAATATTGTAAAAAGAATAGAAGTAAAACGAACAAATGCTAGAAATTCATGCAATGATTCTAACCCATTCCTGGAGTCTTTCAATTTGTCAAATTTCATCAGCATTAGCAGCCATATTTGGACCTACATAAGATAAATTTATAAAACACGAGCATCTCCATTTTTCTTTAAACAAAGAGCTGATCAAATTCATTGCATATAATTCTCCATTTGTCTTTAACATAAGAGGGCCTGAAAAGTTCATGCATTTGGGAAAACCATTTGCCACTTTAGTCCCCGTACTCCTTATTTTTAAAATTTTATTTATTCATTTTCTTTTTTTAAAATTCAATTCAATTGTTAAATAATTTTTTATAATCATCCACATGTGATTCACTTTTGGTATTGTTTAAAAACTTAATATTTGATCTTATTAGATTAATTAATAATTGGTTGTTAAATAATTTTTAAAAATGCAAAAAAAAATTATTTTAATTAAATGGTTGATGAACAAAAACCAGCATCACATTACGATTGGTTCTTCAACCACCAAACAAAGAAAAAAAAAATTTCCCTTTTTTTCATTAACAAAAATAAATATTTAATTTAATTTAACTAACAAAACAAATTAACGTTCTCTGCTTACAATCAATCTTGATTAGATATAAATCAACAACATAGAAAATAACTCAGCATGCAGAGTCCCAAAATAATTACGTAATCACTGTATAGATTTCAAAGGCAAGTAGGCCGCCGTAACAGGGTGTTTGATTGAAAGGGAGAGAAAATAAAAGAGAAAACGAGCTCCAAGAAAGATACATTGCATGTGCAGTGCGCATAAGTTGTCAGATAATGTATGTGCAGCAAAAATCATGAATTTTAGATAAGTAATCAAAGGGAAATTTCTTAACACGCCTTTTTTCTTTTTTATCTTTTCCCAAACCAAATACATAGAACTATGGTATTCTGTTTCAGCTAACACAGATTTTTCTTCTTCTTCCTTACGTATTTCTTGTTATGTATGGCTCATAAAAAGTCTCGTTGTGGGGTTACGAATTATGTGGGTTGGGGGTGTGGGGGCGCAGCCCCCGCGGTACGGTACAGGGTTGATTTTGTAATTATGTACCAGGGTTTTCTATTATAAATAGAGATGTAACCTAGACCTAAAATATCATTGAATAAAACTTCTAGCGCCGCCTAGGCACCGAGGACGTAAGCACATTGCCGAACCTCGTAAAATTCTCGTGTTCTTTCGTTTTCTTTACCCGTTTTCGTCAACAATTGGTATCAGATGTCAGGAGCAAAATTCGAAGTCGCGAAATTCGATGGTCAGGGTAACTTCGGATTATGGCAAACGAGGGTGAAGGATCTATTGGCGCAGCAAGGGATCTTGAAGGCTTTGCGACCTACAAAGCCGGCGTCGATGGATGAGGAAGATTGGGAAGAATTGCAGCAGCGAGCGGCAGGAACCATACGATTATGCTTGGCGGACGAGGTCATGTATCACGTTATGCATCTATCGTCTCCAGACGAAATTTGGAGGAAGTTGGAAAGTCAGTTTATGTCCAAATCCTTAACGACAAAACTGTATCTGAAGCAGCGGTTGTATGGGCTGAAGATGCAGGACGATCACGATTTGGCGCAACACGTGAATGTCTTCAATCAAATCGTTTCTGATCTGGCTCGGCTTGATGTGAAATTGAGGATGAAGACAGAGCGATGATTCTGTTGTGTTCGTTGCCTTCCTCTTACGAACACATGGTGACTACTCTTACATATGGGAAAGAGACTATCAATGTTGAGGAGATTACTGCAGCCTTGTTGGCTCACAACCAGCGGAAGCAGAATGCAGGGGAAAGCTCTCAAGCCGATAGCTTATATGTCAAGGGTAATCGAGATCGTGGACGGAAGCCAGAGAAGGCAGGGTCCGGGAAGCGGAATTCCAGATCCAATCCAGGGATAAGAAGACGATTCACTGTTACAAGTGCAAGGAGGCGGGACATATGAAGCGAGACTGTCCGAAGTTGAAAAAGCAGACTGATGAGAAGCGTGATGGCTTATCCAAGTCTGTGAACGTGGTCGAGGATGATAATTCTGATTGCAGTGAGGGTGATATGCTTTCTATTTCAACGACACAATTGACGGATGCTTGGATTCTTGATTCTGGATGTTCTTATCACATCACGCCAAATAGGGAATGGTTTTCGACATACAGGCCGGTTAATTCTGGTTCGGTTTATTTGGGTGATGATCGATGTTGCAATATTGTTGGTATTGGTGATGTCAGAATTAAGATGCACGATGGCTCCGTTCGGACGTTGAGTGGTGTTCGACATATCCCAGACTTGAAGAAGAATTTGATTTCCTTGAGCACTTTGCACAAGAATGGTTTTATCCCTAAGGCTGACGAGGATAGGGAAACCATTCGGATTGTTAAAGGAGCATTGACTGTGATGAAAGCAAGATGACTGCAGGGAATATCTACAGATTGTTAGGGAGTACCGTTGCAGGTGGAGTTCACTCTGTTGAGTCCTGTGATGATACGACAAAATTGTGGCATATGCCTTGCTCATCTTAGTGAACGTGGTATGGCAGAATTACACAAGAGAAACTTGTTGCATGGTGTCAAAAGCTGTAAGCTCGACTTTTGCAAGTATTGTGTTCTTGGTAAACAGACTAAAGTCCGTTTCAAGACTGCGAAGCACACAACTCAAGGGATTCTGATTATGTGCATTCTGATGTATGGGGGCCTTCCACGACATCGTCTTTGGGTGGATCTAGGTACTATGTTACTTTTATTGATGATTTTTCACGGAAAGTTTGGGTGTATTTTTTGAAACAGAAATCTGAAGTTTTTGAGAAGTTCAAGCTGTGGAAAGCTGAGGTAGAAAACCAAACAGGACGAAAAATCAAGTGTTGCGGTCTGATAATGGTACGGAGTACACAGATTCACAGTTCCTACAATTCTGTAAGGAGCATGGGATTCAGAGGCATTTTACAGTGCGCAAGACACCACAACAGAATGGTGTTGCGGAACGAATGAACAGGTCGTTAAATGAAAGAGCCAGATGTTTGCGGTTGAATGCGGGGCTTCCCAAACTTCTGGGCTGAGGCTGTTAACATGGCGTGTTACCTTATCAACAGATCGCCAAGGGCATCGCTGGCTGGGAAAGTTGCAGAAGAGGTATGGACTGGTCATGATGTTAGTTTTGATAACTACGGATTTTTGGTTGTCCTGCTTATGTGCATGTACCTGCTGATGAGAGATCCAAACTTGATGCAAAATCGAAGGAGTGCATTTTTCTGGGTTACAAGAAAGGTGTCAAAGGATTCAAGTTCTGGGATCCAGTTGCGAAG